TTGTACAGTTGGGGTCTAACAACGGCCCCTCTTAAACATTGTCAAATTAACCTGATGACCTCTAATTTGAATAAGACTGTAAAAGAATTAGATGACTATGTCCATAGTAAAACATTAAACATTTTGAGCAATTTTCAAACACTTTGTAAGTAAATTATACAAAAAAAGATCGTTTCAAATCATTCACAAAATACTAATTTGTAATTTTATATATATATATATATATATATACTTTTTTTAAAGTTGGGTTCCCTTATTTTCATTGATGAAAATGAAAATGCTAATACTTATATGAATAGAGAGTAGAGGTGTCCTTATGACTTGGAAAAATACCAGTTTGTCTCACATGTCCATAATTAATTCATAATTAGCTAAATTCGAAGAGAATTACCAGCAGAATTCCAATGAGTGACCGATCAAGAAAGGTCAAAAAGTATTTTTTTGTTTATCCAGACTGTACATACAAGGACATTTATGATTGGTTAAAATTATATTAAACACAACTGAATTGACCTCCAAAATCGAAGAACTCTTCGGTCAAATCAGATTGGTGTTTTTGAGTCGTTCAAAATTCAACATTAACAAAGCTAACAACTATTTTCATAAAGCTAACAACTGTTTTCATAAAGCTAACAAGAATGTTTCACATAAGAATAAACAATAGTTTTGTTGAGCACTTTTACACGTAACCGGTTTAAGCTAACAATGAATGGTTCAACTAACAAGAACCAGTTTTGGTTCAATCAAACAAAACACACAAATGTTAACCTAATTCAGGTTCACACACATCATAAAGCACAAGCTAGAACAAGTACCGGTTAACAAAACACATCTCCAGCCAGTCTAGGTTAACAAAACACATCTTCCAACCAGTTTAGGTTGCACAAGCTAGAGGACTGTCACTAATTCTAGTTAACAAAACACATCTTCCAACCAGTTTTGGTTGATTAAAACACAACAACTGTTTATTATTCAGATTAACACAATCTTAGAGATCACTGAATGAGGTTGGCCAAACTGAGTTAGATTTACACACATTATTCATCAACCATTTTGGGATGATGCCCATAAAGCCAAGGTTCACTGATAACAAAACACATCTCCAAACCAGTGCAGGTTAACAAATCACATGTTCAAACCAGCCCAGGTTGCACAAAACACATGTCCAACTAGTCCAGGATAACAAAACACATGTCCATCAAGTCTAAGTTAACAAAACACATGTCCATCCAGTCCAGGTTGCAAAAACACATTACGACCAGTGTAAGTTAACAAAACACATGTCCAACCAGTTTGGGTTTATTGAACCAGTTTCAGTGGTGAATTCTAGAACTCTGATTGCTCAGAATGTGAATGAACTGGAGATCTATCCATTGTTCGCATTTTAATAAGGTCCATATGTCTATATTGTTTCCTGTCGTAGCCAGTGTTGGAAGTTCTTTCCTCTGAAACGAAACAGGAAGTAGAATTAGCGTAACTAAGGAAGTGGAATTAGCGTAACTAAGGAAGTAGAATTGGCTAAAAATGCCAGCTGAATTAGTGCAATAAAGACAGAAGTTTTCTAAATTTATTATGTGTATCAGGGACACTGATAGCATCAATTTGCACCATTCCAATTTTCAATCAGACGTCTGTGGTTCCTGCACTCCTACTCAAACTAAATGTTTGATGATGTCACTAATCGCAAAATATGCTTTATCAAATAAGGCCCTTCGTGATTAATGACGTCACCAAATATTCTAAAGTTCTACAGCCTTCACATGGTCTGCTATCTTCACATTGTCAAGCTATTACGAACTTCGTCTTATACCTTGACTACAAGAGCCACCTTTTTAACGGAATGCAGCAATTTGATTGGATTGTGCACTAGCCAATCAGAGCCCTAGATATACTATAACCAAATGGCTCATTGTTTGGCTGTTTACATACAATCAAATTGTTGCATTTACAACCTTCCATGATACAAGACAGGTGATAATTGCAGTCAAGGTATAAGATTAAGTTTGTAATAGCTTGACATTGTAAAGATGTGCATCTGCGTGATTTTTCGACCATCAGTGGATGAGGTGGCATCAAACAATGACAGTACTCACCCATAAAAGTATGTTTGGTTTCCTGAGTGAAGGAATTCATAAAAGATTTTCTAAATCTGTAAGCTCTGTGTCGTACATTACCTAAAAAAGGTGCTGTGGAGATAGTGTACAGGACTGGATTGATGGCAGAGTTCAATGGCAGGACAAATACTGCTACCCAAGCATATACCTGTAAGGTCAAAAGGGTAAAATGTTAGAAAGTGGTATTAACCTTAAAGAGATTGTAAGGAGGTTTTCTAAATTTTTTATGTGTATCAGGGACACCGATAGCATCAATTTGCATCATTACAATTTTCAGTCAGATGTCTGTGGTTCAGAAAACATTCTCTGATTGGTCAATCCTTGTTTTCCTTTGGTATCATTCCAAAATAAGGTGATGACATCATAATGATTTTGGGACCTCAAGTATGATTTTTAAGTCCACAAAATTGTCATACTACTTACATTTTGTGGTATGCTAGCTCCACCTAGTGATGCATACCCTAGTAGAATAATCGGCACCCAACAGAAAAAATCTGTCATGACGATCATAGTCATTCTTCTAGCCATGGCAGCATCGGTCTTGGTCTCCGTGGCACGGACAGCACTCCGTGTACGCTTGGCAACCGTGAACATCCAAAAATAGGACAAAAATATTAGCAGAAACGAAATGAAATTGACCACTAAGAAAATAGCTACTGAGTATTCCCATCCAGGAGGATGATCAGGGGTGATGTGGAACGCCAAACAGACACCAGAACGTCCATAGAAATTGGTAAAATAGTCCAGACCAATGAGTGGCAGTACCGACAGACACAACACCACCAACCAAACCCCCAGCATGACCAGAAACGACTCCTTTAAACTCAATCTCCGCATTTTTAACGGGAAGATGATACAGATTAATCTATCCAAGGTGATGACAGTCAAGGTAAACACGGAGAGTTCACTGGAAAGAGTTGACAGGAATCCGGCAAAGCGACATAAATCGCTGTTCCTCCAGGCCTTGTCGTGGACGATGTAGACCCCCCTGTAGTACGAATCTACCACTGCCACTATCAGTAAGTAAATTCCCATGAAGAAGTCACCAATGGCTAAGTTGGTGATGAGGAACGAATGCACCTGAAAAAAAATGGACAGCATTAATTGTTAAGGATTTTTGGAAATTTTTTATTTGTAAATACAAAATTATCTTCTCAATGTCAAGCTATTATGATGTTTGTCTCACACCTTGACTGCAATAGCCACTATTCGTGTAACAGCCAATCAAAGTCTACAATAGAAAATAGTGAAGAAGCCAAGCGGTTTTTACCTTGCCACCTCTGAGATCACGAGCACGCCAACCAATGACCAGTAAGTTTCCGAAGCCTGCCACCATACCCAATATCCAAATTGAGATACGTAGAATGTAGTTGGACATGAGGTCTTCACATGATGAGAATTCATTGGGTTCTGGGTAACATTGGTCTACGTCGGTTGCTAAGCAACAAAATCTGTACTCATCTGTATGTCTGAAATATTGAACAAAATGAAACAAATCTCTCAGAAAGCGGTGCTGAGTTTTGTCAAAGAAAAATTTGTGAACCCTCAGAAAGAGGTGCTGTGTTTTTTATTAACTTTTATTTTTAATATAGCCACTTCAATAAGGGTCTAACGACAGCCCTCTTGAACATTTGTCTAATTAGTGGTGTTAAAAACTTACAAAGTTCTAAGGTTGGGTATACCATGGAAAACATTCTCTTCTATTAGGTTGATAGCATTATGGGATAGATCCCTGAAAAAAAAAAATGATCGTAAAACATAAGCTTACTAATGCTCCATTTCCAACTGTTAGGGACCTTTGACTTGCATTGTCGTCAAAAACCGCAGCTACTTTTAGACGGACGTCTGTGGTTCCTTCAATTCCACTCAAATTAAGCGTTAAATGACATCACAATTTCAAAAACTGCTAAAAATATTTAGGGGCTTTGGTGACGTCAGTAAACACCTAAGTGATTTGCAGGAACCACAGACATCTGATATGAAAATTGAAATGGTGTAAATTGATGGTTAAATGGTTAACTTACAGAAGGTAGAGTTTGGTTAACCCATTAAAGGCACCATCTGATACATATTCTATGTGGTTATTTGACAAATTTCTGAAGAAAAAAAAATTATTACATATACCATATACCACTTTTACTGACAATGGATAAGACAAGAGACATCTTAAAGAGATTGTAAAGAGGTTTTCTAAATTTTTATGTGTATGGGACACTGATAGCATCAATTTACATCATTCTAATTTTCAATCAGACGTCTGTGGTTCCTGAAATTCCACTAAAACTAAGTGTTTGATGATGTCACTAATCTTAAAATATGTTTTATCACATAAGTCCTTCGCAATTAGTGATGTTATAAAATCCTTTTAAGTGGAATTGCAGGAACCACAGACGTCTGATTGAAAATTAGAATGATGTAAATTGATGCTATCAGTGTCCCTGATATAAATTTTTTTTAGAAACCCCACAAATTATAATGAAAATAACCCAAACTTACAAATTATATACGTTTCTAAGACCATTGAAGGCGTTTTGTGGAATTATATTTATATCTTGATTACTTAGATCTCTGAAAATATTCAAAACAAAATTTAATACCCAGTTTTCTCCCTGTCAGTGATGTAGGTAAGAGGGGCTGATATGGAAGAAGCGTCTAGTCGTTCAGATGGGTGTGCTACAGGCTGAGCATGTTTAAGATCCCTCTACTGTTGGAAATCGAAAAGAGAACAGGCTAATGCCGCTGTCTTTGGTTTTGGAAACCTTACAACAAACTAGAGATATTTTGAAACTGACTTTCCAACTTTAGGACAGAAAATAACTTACTGAACAGGAGAGGGTAGTTGATAATAAGAATATTCTCAACAATTGTGGATATTACTTACAATGTTCTGAGATGTGACAAGCCCACAAAAGAATCAGGATGAATATATCTTATTTTGTTTCCACTCAAAAATCTGCAAGAAAAATATAAAACCGGTCTCAATTTTTTTAAAAATTCTGATTTAATGAATATATAATATTAAGCTTCTGTTAGTTGTTTAAGCTCTGGACTGGGTTAAGCTTCAATGAAGTTATAACAAATATAAAGTTAACTTCAGCAAGCATGCTTGCGTGTTATGAATGTCAGCTCCTTTCTTGAGCTCTTATGACCAAGTTCATATAAGCTCAAAAGACTGTCAATTTCCTACTGCAGTTGTTCAATATTTTTAAGCTTTTATTAGCTTTTAATGATTGTGTCAGCTTTTAAGCTCATCTGACAGCTATACTTACAGTTGACGTAAATTTCCCAATCCTAAAAATGTTTCATTTCTTATCTCTGTTAGCACATTGTTGGCTAGGTTCCTACAATTATAAACAACAAAAAAACAACATCACACGTCTTGGAGAAAAAACCATGGTACCCTTAACAGATGGGACTATGGTTTGCTTTATCCAAATAGCTTTGTGAGGTGGCAGTGAATTTTAATGATTACATTAAATAATACTCTTTCTTTTGTGTTTCTTGTGTGTGTTCACATTACAAAACAAAACTGATATAGAAGCATGTTGATTGGTTGGTTTGGAAATCATGTGACACTTAGTAAGAGGTTTAGGAACATGGTTGATAGTTTCAGCCAGGGGCGTCTCCCAGGCCCGAGGGGGGTGGGGATGCATGGCCCTAAATAGGTCACAAATATATTGAGAAGACAAACTGTTCTTCAGCGACAGAAAAAGGAGGTGTCTTTGGTATTAAATTCAGTTTACAATGTAGCAATGGAATTCACTCGTGACTTTTTAAAAAAACAACCAAACTTACAATGTTGACAGTCGCCATAGTGATTTAAAACTATTCTCTGGTAAAAAATGGAGGTTGTTGTGACTCAAATCCCTGTAAAAAAGGCTCGATTAATAACATTTCAAATCTTGTTTGATAAAATGTAATAGAGGTGCTTTTAAAATGTAGAATGGAATACCAAAATTTGTTATTAGCCATGTGAACTCTCTGCACTGGATTATGAGTTGAGAAACCCAGTTGCTGGATTGAATCTGCTTAATGTAATAAAACTTTTGATTCCAGTGCCAGTACCTTTGACAATTTTCTTGTCCATCAAATAAGGATTTATGGCAAAGAGTTTGTTTATTTGGCATGTAAAATTTTCAAAGAGAGTTACTGATTAGGAGTGGGGAATCGAGTGTGAAAATTACTTACAAATAAGTCAGTCTTGTGAATTTATTAAAAGTATGGGCTGAGATATTTTTCAAGGATTTCTTTGATCAGGAGTGGGAAATCGAGTGTGAAAATTACTTACAAATAAGTGAGCCAAGTGAACTCGTGAAAAGTATGGGCTGAGATATTTTTGAAGGATTTCGTTGATCAGGAGTGGGGAATCGAGTGTGAAAATTACTTACAAATAAGTGAGTCTTGTGAACTCGTGAAAAGTATCAGCTGAAATTGAGGCGTTTAAATTGTTCCATGACAACCGGCTGCAAAAACAAAATGGCCGACATAAATTGGTAAGAAAAATTTGAATTAGAGAGCATCAATTTTGTTGCTTAAATATTTAAATATTGTTAATCCCCATATTAAACTTAGCTGTCCTGATGAGGGTTGTATATCTGAAACATGTGTCCCACGTTTGACAAAAAAACTGTTTTGCCCTTCAAGTTGTAAAATCAATGCCAAGAGGTTTGGCCAAGGACCAGCTAGTAGAAAGGATTCTTGTAAACCTTAGTTGTTATCCTTGTAAAATCAATACCAAGAAGTTTGACCAAAGAACAGCTGGTAGAAAGGACCCTTGTGAACCTAAGTTGTTATCCTTGTGAAAAATGTTACTGTCATTAATTTTTGTAAAGTGTATAGCCATTTAAAGTAGGTGCCCTCCAAAGAAATAAAGCTCTATTTTGCTCTGTTTCATTTCATTTCGTTTCGTCCCCAAGATACAACTGTTTACCTACAACTTGGTTAAGGTGTTGTCGATGAAAGACGGCAACTCTGTAAAGTTCTGATGTTCACAGTTCATTTCTTTGTCCATACAAATACATTTCTCATTTCTGTATGGACAGGCATATTCTAAAATTATAATGAAACAATCGTTTAGCTTTTTGGGACATTTCCTACAAATTTCTTAAAGGCACAGGTTCCCCATCCGTTGGATCAATCATACCTTAGTCTCAGAAACAGGAATTTTTTAGCTAAGTTAATCAGTAATAGTGTTCACAGCTCACTGTCGAAATTTGAGCCTTCAAATCCATGTGTGTCTAGAATTATCTGCTTTTGAAAATGATATTGAGATATTTTTGAAGAGATTTTGCCATTTTCGTACAGTTTTAGTACTTCTGAAGACTCAAATCAACCTCCCAAAATGCTGATAGTTGCCCTTTGATGTGTTGAATAGAAGAAAGGATTGATCAAATTGAGTTGCCCCAAGAAAAAACATGAAACATCTAGATCTGTGTTTAGTTGAATAAAGTATTGAATTCTTACCACAGAAATATTCATCCCAAAAAGTCATTTTACAATCTAAATTTCCATCACATTTCTGTTCTTTATCAATACAGTAGGAATTCCTACATTTAAACTCTGTAGCTTCCGAACACACATACTGAGCTAGAAAAATAGAAAACAAGTACATCAAATGCTAGTAGATGTCAAGTAAATCAAGTGCTAGTAGATGTCAAGTACATCAAATGCTAGTAGATGTCAAGGAAATCAAATAATTACGACAGTTTTGGAGATTTCAAGGAAATCAAATGCCAGTAGATGTCAAGAAAATCAATTACTTACAGCAGTTGAAGATATGTCAAGTAAATCAAATGCTAGTAGATGTCAAGTAAATCAAATGCTAGTACATGTCAAGGAAATCAAATACTTACAGCAGTTAAGTAGATGTCAAGTAAATGAAATGCCAGTAGATGTCAAGGAAATCAAATGCCATTAGATTTCAAGTAAATGAAATGCCAGTAGATGTCAAGTAAATCAAATGCCAATAGATGTCAAGTAAATCAAATGCCAGTAGATGTCAAGTAAATACTTACAGCAGTTGAGAAGATGTGAATTGTCTGAACAAATCGTGCGTCCCTTTTTCTTGCCACCATAACACAAGTTGTCTTGAGGTATACATTGTCCATTGGTACATTGAAATTCATCTGGTCTGCAGTCTCTATAAGCTGAAAGAGTGAATAGGTTATGCCTGGGTATGTGCTTTTGTGAGCTTATGGTCATATAGGACCTTTTTCTTGATAACAATGAAGTATTGTGGGGTAGTGAAACCGAAACAGGCTGAAATATTGCTCCATTTAGACTCCATGATAGACTGCAATTAAGTTCAGTAATAGATTTTTAAGAGGCCCTCAAACCAGGGCACCTTTAGTTACATACTTTCGTACTTACCACAAGCTAGCTCATCTGAGTTGTCAGGGCAGTCTCTCCAGTGATCACACCAGAAACTAATCTGGATACACTGTCCACTGTTACATCTATTATATCCTGGTAAACACTCTTCTTTATCTAGAAATAGTCAGTAGGCATGTGAACACTCTAAATTTTTGGGGAAAAAATACTCAATTCTTAAAGCACTATATAGAATAGTTTTGGGAACTTTTATCCAAGATAACTTGTTGACAACCCAGTTGTAGAGCATTGGCTGCCTCAACTAGTATTTTCGTGGATCTTTTTACGATAGGGATGTTGTCAAATGAGATATCTGATTGGTGCAAATGCAAAAACTAGAAAAACTCTTTACAATCCCTTTAAGCTGGCTCAAAGCAATTAGGTTAAAGAAAAGTATTGTCTGTTATATAGTTGACATACTCAAGAGGAAAGTGGTATCAGGTGTGCTGAAGAGAAGAGTTTGGAAGGAGTACCTACCACAATGAGCTTCGTCACTGCGATCAAAACAATCTGTTTTACCATCACACCGTTTATATCTTGGTATACATTGTTGATTTAAACAACGATATTCACCTTCTTTACATGCTTCAAAATCTTAAAATAAACACACATGAAACTGTAGAAATATTAAATCAGAACCTGAAACATGTTGTTACCCAGTTTCACGCTGTGTGATCTTCAGACAACTGACTTATTTCAGCCTGTGTCCCAACTGAAGTTTGACAAGTAGAGATCTTCAGACGGCTGACCTATTTCAGCCTGTGTCCCTTTTTACGTCTTTTTACAATCCCTTTAAATTTGACCTTTTTTGGACTCACCGCAATTCTGTTCGTCTTCTCCATTAACACAATCAGCATAGTAGTCACACCGAACATTTCCTGGTAAACATCGGCCCTCTGGACAGAGTACCGGGTCATCAAACTCTGACTTACTACAACCATTACTAATATCACCTACAGATAGACAGATTGAAGAAAAAGATTAATGGATGAATGAAGGAGACAAATTGATTGAAATGAAATGAATCAAGTTTAACGTCCTACTTTTCTGCACCATACAGTGTGCAATGAGGGAAATTTTTCCAGGCCAGCAGCATCAGTCTACTCCTTTTCTATTTCCGACTGTCGAGGGATCTTGATCATGCACAGCCTGTAGCACATGGGGCCTCAGTTTATTGTCCCATCTGAACGACTAGACGCTTTTTCCACGTCAGCCCCTCTTACCTGTATCAATGACAGGGGAAACCGGGTTGAATTTCATCAGATCATGCATGGCAAGTGAAGTTACCCACTAAAACGAAGGAAAAATATTTAGGGAACATATGTCTCTTGATCAGATAGTCCAGGAGTCTTACCACATAGATCTTCATCACCACCAGTATTGGAGTCCAAACAATCGTTGTTACCATCACAGACGTAGCGTTTATTGATACACCTTGGATACCTGGTACTTTTACACATATACTTCTCTCCTATAGTACATACTTCACCAGCTATCTCTGTAACAAGCAACGTCAAGATTAAAAACAACGTCAAGATTGGAAAAAACGTCGAGATTTGGCAAGACAATTGAAGATTTGGAAAACCCATTCTAAATTTGGAAAAACAATTCAAGATTCGTCCTTGACCAAACCTCATGGCATTGATCTTTCCTGGATTATCTGTACCCATTTACAGCTGGGTTGACTGGAATAATGAGGACAGATGGCTTATTCAGTCACCAGAATTTCACACACCAACTGAGATTAGAACCCACAACCAACATTTGTTTGGAGCAGCCAATTTTAACACCCTAGTCCTCAAAATGGCTGAACTTACTGCAGTAGTCTTCATCTTCACATTGTGTACAGTCGCAGACACCATCGCACTTGTTGGTCTTTCTGATACATTGATTGTTGTGGCATTTAAAATGATCAACCCTGCACTCTCCACCTGGAATACAAGGGCAACAACTCTTGTAGCCTTAGACAGAAAATCAGCAAAAAAAACTGAGATAAAAATGACAAATTACTGTAAAATTTGGAAATAATCTAAACCAATTATTGAAGGCTTTATCAATTCTTTTAATGTGGTTCACGGTTGTCATAGCAACCACACTGTATCATTTTTTTAGATGTGGTTCACGGTTGTCCTAGCAACTACTAACTTGCAGCTTGTTTGTAGGACTGTATGGCTTGAAAACAACTGAAACATCTGCTGAATGTGCTTAAGCTAAGAGTTGGCCCCCCTTAACCCTTGTCCAGTATATTACAGGCTTTTAACAATGAAAGTGTTAGAACGGAATGACTTACAGTTGGTTTGATCTTGGTGTGTGAAGGGACAATCTGGCCATTGGTCACAAACTAGAGTTTTATTCACATAGAAACCAAACGGACATCGGAAATGTTCATCTAAAACAGAAAACAACCATATTTTACAAGTATAATAACTAAGGTTCGCAGTTAAGGATCCTTTCTACCAGCTGGTCCTTGACTAAACCTCTTGGCATTGATCTTTCCTGGATTATCTGTACCCATTTACAGCTGGGTCAACTTCTTCACAATCCCTCTAAGACTAAGAAACTAAGCAGTGCTTACCACATATTTGAGCGTGCTCATCCGAGCCATCTATGCAATCTAACATGGTGTCACAGATATACGCCATTGGTATACATTCCTTATTATCACACCGGAACTCTGTTGATAAACACTGTCTCCTAGCTGTAAAATTAACAGAACATTCATTAGTGCTGGCACCATATATTGGTGAATCAATGTAACACCCCTATTTAAACCAGAAATAAACTAGCCCAACCTAACACCCCTTGACCTAAAGAATATAGACTATTCCAAGCAATACTCACTCCTCACTCACCTAATCAGGTCATTGACCTAGTGAAGTGAGTGATTTATGAATACCTACTCACTAGAGTGAGCTGATTTAGAGAAGAGCTCACCCCATTTTCAAGTTAAAATCCACATTTTCGAAAATTGATGAGTACTAGTGAACACTACTCACTAATCAGGTCATTGACCTAGTGAAGTGAGTGATTTATGAACATCTACTCACTAAAGTGAAAACCTTTTCACAATCCCTTTAATAAAGTGAGAAAAAATAGGGTGTAAAACTCCACTAATTTTAAACCAAACTTACCACAGCGTATTTCATCTGAATTGTCTCCACAATTATCCACAAAGTTACATTCCAGCTCTCGTGGAATACAGAAGTGGTTATCGCATTTATAGAAGTTGTCCGGGCAGACGAAGGTCTCTAGAAAAGAAGTTAAAAAAATCATGCATTGCTCAATGTCATAAATTTTCAAAAAATTACGGAAAAATCCAAATTGCATGCATTTTAAAGGGATAGGTGCACCATTTATTATTTTTTGAGGGGTGATTTGAGTTAGTTCTGGACACACATGGATTTGAAGGCTCAAATTTTGACGGTGATCTGTGAACACTCTTACTGATTGAGATTAAAGTATGATTGGTCAAAAAGAATGATGCAACTGTGTACATGTGTATGGGGGGAGGGGTGTCTCAGTGGTTTGTAGAGGGAGGGGTAGGGGGAGGGGGTCACCCTTACCACAAGATTCTTCGTCATTACCATCTTCACAATCATTGAAGGTATCACATCTTTTTATCAGATCAATACAGTGGGTATCATTACACTGGTATTCATTGGGTAGACAGCCTGAAATAGACAGTTTGTGGTCAGACATCTGTGGTTCCTGCAATTCCACCTAAACACTTTATGCTATCATTATCATCCTAGTTTCTATGACAATTGCAGGAATCACAGACGTCTGATTGAAAATTAGAATGGTGTAAATTGATGCTATCAGTGTCCCTGATACACATAAAGGAATTGCAGGAACCACAGACATTCGATTGAAAATTGGAATGGTGTAAATCGATGCTATCAGTGTCCCTGATACACATAAAAAATTTAAGAAAACCTCTTTACAATCCCTTTAAGAATATTTTTTTTTTGTTTTTCAGATGAAACCAAACAAAGTGGAGCTTCAGTCAAAAAAAACAAGTCCAAACCAGGTATGTTGAAAAGTTTAAAGATTTCCTATGATTGGCTGTATTCGCTGACATACAATCCAATCAAAAGATGCAGAATGGTATCAGGTGTTCCATCAGAAGTGACTTAAGTAATTGCCCTACCCAATGGTGGGTAAACTCAGTGAACAGGGGTGAGGAAATTGCTACAAGAATATTCTACGGCATTTACATTCTCATCTTAGTCCATGGGATGTAAACACGTTTCATAATTATATGCCATGCCAAAATTTGAATTTTTTTGTAACTTCAAAATTAGAGAGCTTAGTTCTATAAACTTCACTGCAGACATAATTTGATCATCAATTTTTTATGAAAAATTGTTATTTTACAAGCTGGAATTTGAAACCTATATTTTGATAATTTCAAAATGCAATTTGGATTTGGAACAGACATAATAATATTTGTTTTTCTTACGAAAATTAGATTTTTTTTTTAATAACTGCCAAAAAAAATTATTTTTTTGAAACAAATTTTGCAATTCAAGTTTCATTAAGTCTATAATATTCTTTAAAGGGATTGTAAAGAGGTTTTCTAAATTTTTCATGTGTATCAGGAACACTGATAGCATCAATTTACACCATTCCAATTTTCAATCAGACGTCTGTGGTTCCTGCAATTCCACTAAAACTAAGATGCTTGATGCTTGTATCACACAAGGCCCATTTCGATTAGTGACATCATAAAACACTTAGTTTTAGTGGAACTACAGGAACCACAGACGTTTGATTGAAAATTAGAATGGTGTAAATTGAAGTTATCAGTGTCCCTGATACACATAAAAATTTAGAAAACATTTTCACAATCCCCTTAACTTACCACAAATTTCCACACTTTCATCGCGACCATTTAAACAGTTGCTGACGCCATTGCAGACAAGAGACTTGTCAACACAGTCTAAACCGTTTACATCCGGTTCACATTCAAAACTGGTTTCCAGTTGACAAATACGCTGCTTCTCTGCCGCATCTTCTGGTAGATCAATTCCTGAAAATATAATGGAATGGTTCCTTAGAATGAGATACCAGAATAGTGGCTTTTCTGGAATAAAATACAGGTGTGATGGGTCCAAAAGATTTTTAAGGATGGAGCTCACAAGCAAGTCTTTCCCTATGTTTTTTGATTAAGAATTGAAAATGGTAAGTTAAAGGTGGGATAGCCTATATTTAAAAAAAAAGTTGGATATTTCATTTCATTTCCTTGAAAGGGCTAACAGTTATAGAAAAGTAGGATGCAAAATTCATTCCATTTCATTTCATTTCATTTCTTTGGTTTAGAAAAGTAGGAGATTTACTCCATTTCATTTCATTTCTTTGGTTTAGAAAAGTAGGAGATTTACTCCATTTCATTTCATTTTCTTTGGTGCAGAAAAGTAGGAGATTTACTCCATTTCATTTCATTTCTTTGGTTTAGAAAAGTAGGAGATTTACTCCATTTCATTTCATTTCTTTGGTTTAGAAAAGTAGAAGATAAACTCCATTTCATTTCATTTCTTTGGTGCAGAAAAGTAGGAGATAAACTCCATTTCATTTCATTTCTTTGGTGCAGAAAAGTAGGAGATTAACTCCATTTCATTTCATTTCTTTGGTACAGAAAAGTAGGAGATTAACTCCATTTCATTTCATTTCTTTGGTGCAGAAAAGTAGGAGATAAACTCTGTTTTATTTCATTTCTTTGGTACAGAAAAGTAGGAGATTAACTCCATTTCATTTCATTTCTTTGACAAAACTTAAGTACACGTATTGACTTGCAATTTAATTTTTTCCAATGTTGTCTTAGCTCTCAAAAAAGAAATATTTTAAACTCATTAAAAAGTGAAGTAGTTAAAGACTGCCTGAAAACTCTCGCTGGTGCCGATGCCAAAAGTCAAAGAGGTCTTCCCAATCAATTTTTGTTCTCAGAAATTTCTCTGCAGTATGGGAAAAATCTATCGTGTGTCAATATTTTCTGCGGAATAATTCATTAATTAAGGTTCGTTAAGGATCTTTTAATTATTTACTTTTCATTTCCAATTCGTTACCAGAAAAATTCAATTTTTGTGTCGTATTTTGAATTTTGAGCATTTAAAGTTGGATTGGTACCATTTTCTTTTGAAAAAGATAAGTTAACTATTATTTCTAAAGTCCTATGTATCTGTGGCTTTGGCAGGTTTCCCCCAGTGTACACTGCATGGCATTGTCTGTCTTTTTCTTATAGTCTTCTTGGACATCTACCTTGATAAAAACTGCTGGAGGAATCATCAATTTTTCATTTCAAAAAAGTTGTAAAAGTAAAAAAGAATTAGTCCTAGCAAAATTTCCCTCATTGCACAAAGTTCAAGGCTTTCCTCAACGGAATGTAGATCGTTCAACTCTAGAAAAATAACATCAAAGACAGAAATTTAAAAAAAAATCTACAAATTACGTTGAAATTTAAGTGGCTCTAATTTGTAGCTTCTACTTCCGTTCACGTCTGTATAATTGATGGTTTGTTTTGCCTTTCAGCTTTTTAAATTATCGGTTAGTTTGTTTTTGATGTCGGGGCTATCAACCAATCAGACACTGATTAGCTTGTGTGATACGTCGTCTGTCTCTATCGACCTAATAACAAGGGAGATAATTGGTGTTGACAATAAGCTTGTCACTCACATGGTGACCAACTTTTCTTGAACTTAATGACGCTGAATGGATTGTCGTCTGCTAGAGACTTTTCTTGTTGCCAAGGAATTTAGCGCTGTGGGTTTGAAACCCAAGGTAACTGAATGGATTGTCGTCTGCTAGAGAATTTCCTTGTTGGTAGGCAATTTAGCGCTGTGGGTTTAAAATTTAAAATCTCTAGGTGATCTCTGATAGGGAATTTAGCGCTGTGGGTTTGAAACTGAATAGATTGTCGTCTGCTAAGAACTTTTCTTGTTGTTAGGTAATTTGGCGCTGTGGGTTTGAAACTCTCATTTATCTCTGTCAATCACATAGTGACCAACATTTCTCGAACTTAATGCACTGAGTGGATTGTCATCTGCTAGTGAATTTTTGTAATGTGCTACCAACTTTTCTTGTTGCTAGGGAAACTGGCGCTGTGGATTTAAAACTCTTGGTAATGACAAGTTATGTAATTGGTGTTGACAACATGCTTGTCAATCACTTGGTGACCAAGTTTCCTGTCTAAGTTCCCTCATTGCACACTGTGCTCTTCATCTAGAGCAGAAGTAAAGAACTAAAAAGTCCTTGTTCGATTGACTCGGCAATGCCTTAGAGCTATAGACGGGAGTATGGAATGGTATCATAAAAAATGTTCGTTGGAAACGAATGCCTGTGATTAGTTGTCTAGGTCCCTATTCCGTGAAATACAAATTATGTGTTGGATAAGTCAAAATGATGGAGGTAAGGTTGGTTGCCGGGGGCGACTAGACGTCCATAACAATTGACCAAAACATAAATTCGAATCAATTTTTCCTAACATTTGAAAATTATATGGTAAAAAAGAAATTTTCTAAGTGTGGAGAAAACCAAATTATTGTCTTGAAATGACAGATAAATGGCACTGGAACAGTCTGGAAGGTATCTTGAATGTCAAATGGTTCCAACATTTCAGTCTCTTTGATTTATGATGCCATGGTGCCAAAATAAAGTGTGATATTTGATATTTGAATGGTCTGTAGCACAGTGACATGACATCATTTAATAAAATGAAGTTATCACACAAAATATCTTAAATCATTTCCTTAAGAAATTGCAGAGATTGTCTCTTTAAATTCATTTTATAAAATTGAACAGATCTAACCTCTTTAAAAAAAGAACAGAACCATTTCGTTAAAAAATATTTGCAGATTGCCTCTTTAAAATATCTCACAAAATTTATTGAAAATTAATGCCTCTTTAAAATATCTAAAAAAAAATTTATTGAAACAAAATTAACAAAAGCTTCTATTATTGCATTGATAAAATTTGCAGACCTAGCCTATTTAAAGTATCTCAAAGAAATTTTATTGAAAAGTTCTGTCTTTTAACAAAAGCTCATATCATTTTAGTGGATAAATTTGCAGACCTAGTCTCTTTAAGACTGGCTATAAATTGTCTTGCAGGAACTAAAAGCTAAGTGAGAAATAAGAGGCATTATTAATGATTTCCTGAATTTGTCTTTAAGAGTTCCAGAGCTTGACATTCATTGTGGTGCCAATCTTCAACAGTGGAATTATATGTGAATCAAAGCTTTGTTATTGATTAGGAGTTTATAGCAGTCAATTTAGTCTTCAAGTTGGATTCCCCTTGCTTTCTAAAATCAAAATAGTACTTAGAGGAGAGAAAAAGAAGGGAATTTCCTAAATTACAACTCTAGAAAAAAGAAATTTACAAAATTACAACTCTAGAAAAAAAGAAATTTACAAAATTACAACTCTAGAAAAAAGAAATTTACAAAATTACAACTCTAGAAAAAAGAAATTTACAAAATTAAAACTCTAGAAAAAAGAAATTTACAAAATTAAAACTCTAGAAAAAAGAAATTTACAAAATTACTACTCTTGAAGATGGAAACTTTTTAGTTTTGATGGGAACCCAACTTGAATAGTTCAGAGGGGCTTTAAAACTTCATAAGACTTCACCAGCAAATTCTTTGATTGTTTCTCAACAACCTGAAAATAGATTAATTTCATTTTCTC